GGCGACTCCGCAGTGAGAGTGGGCGAGTCGTCGTAGATGATGTCAGCGCGACATGTTGATCTATTATGTATCCGGGGGACCCACCTCGCCGGCGCCGAATACCACGCGCGAGAAGGCCACGCTATATTTTTGTTTGGGCGCCGCGCTCTGGAAGAAAGGTCACGCGCCGGAGGTGGGGCCATCGTCTTCCCGCGGATCCGCTCGGCAGCTCTTGCTGTCATGGCGCGCGGCGACCGCGTCGCGACGCTTCGGTTGAAAGTGCGCGGTGGGATGATTATTGTTGTGTCTGTCTACGCGCCGCACAATGGAATCGACTGCGACATCAGACATTCATTTTGCAATGACCATATGCGCGCGCATCGCAACGGAACGCTCGACGTCGCGCGTTCCGGGCGACTTCGACGCCGGGCGGTTCCAGGGGTGGGCCAGGGGGGAAGATGTGATCGGCCCGCGCGCGTACGAGACGAGCTACGGTTGCGTGAACGATGCGACTCTGAATCGGCATCTTCTGACCGGGACTAGCTTCGCATGCGACCTAGCGATCTCGAGCGCCTTTTTTGACCGCCCCAGTGGGGGCGGGGTAGCGAGCCGAGGCCGTGGCCTGCATCCGACGCCGCCCATCGAGCGCTCAGTTTTTGCTCTATGTGACCACGTAGTCTGCCACTGCAGCTGCCTCCCCGCTGCTTTTGATTCCCGGGCGCGCAGGGGGGAACCAATCAACGGCCGAAATTTTCTTGTTTTTATTCAGACATCAATTGGAGTCGACTCGGGCGCGAGACGCAAGTGGCAGGCGCGGGGCGCGGCAGCGTTGAATCATGCGCATGCCAGACATGAATTTGTTACTATATCAAAGACCGCGGCGCGCGCGGACCATGCGAATCGCGGCTTGGATGACGCGGCGGATGACGTTGAACAAGCCTTCCACGCAGCCGCGTCGACCATGCTGGAGAGAGAGAGATCCCCTGCAGACGTCCGCGGACAAGTTCGCGTGCGCTCGACCCTACCAGGAAGCGAAAAGTTCGTCGTCAAAGGGGGGGCTGCCTCAACGAGAAGGTTCCTGACGAGTTGATCGGGCAGTCCGGCACGCAAAACCACGCAGCTTTGCTGGGAGATTTTGCAGGCGGCGGCAGCTGGGAGGCGGTGGGGCATCTGCGCAGACCAGAAGCAACCAAGCACGTGGACACCAAGAAGCTGGATGGCACTTCGTCAGACACGGCTGAATGATCAACAACCATGGCTGACAATTTCGAGGCAGTATAGTGGCAGAACCGCCACCCCCAATCTCCAGCCAGACCAGGATGTTTAGCTCGGGGGGTCTTTCCCACCAGCGCAGGCAGTTGTTGCATGGATGGTTTGCGGGGGGTCTTGGATGGATCGAAGTATGGGAAGGCTGCAGGTCCAGACGACGCGCCATGATATTGTTGGAGAATTCCCATGTACGGCGAAGAAGCAAGCGCTATAGCATACGGCTTTGTCAACAAGGCTGGGGCAGGAAGTCGATCCTAGAATCCTAGAGAAGAGCCTACGTAGTCTTAGTGTTTTGTAAAAGGAGACACAGCCCTTTCAGAAAAGTATAAGCTCATGTCATTGCTTTCGGTTGGTTACAAAACATTGGCGACGCTTGATTCGCGGAGGCTCAGAGAAGCGCACGCGTAACTCACAATATGGTTTTCGACTTGGACGTAGCCCTATGGACGCTGTAATGCTCGTAATGCGCATGATTGATATCGCACGCCATAGCAACGATGATGGGATACTGGCGTTGCTGTTGGATTGGGCCAAAGTTGTTGACATAAACAATCCATATTCCATGCGCAAAACTTTGCACAGATCTGGGCTCTCTCCCGAAGCAATGGAAATGGTGTGTTCCATACATGAGACCCGCTTCGCTGTTATTTCTGACCACGCTGGTACTTAATCTGAAAAGCGACAGAACGCCGGCATTGCACACGGATGCCTCTCCCCGCGTCATTGCGGTCAGACCGTCATGCCGCGCGATGCGTTCGACACATTGCATATTCAGCGAGAGCCTGGGCATGTGGTTACATGGGACGTGTTATATGCAGACGACACATTACTTGCCTCCAAGCACCGGACGAACCTCCAAACCATCCATGTTGAACGCAGTCGTTGAGGAAGGGCGCAAATATGGCTTGGATTTGACTGGGACGACGCAGTGCCGATGCAGGTGTCCACGAACACAAAGCTCATGAGACCAGATGGGGGCGAGATCAAGACGGTCCGAGACGCTGTATATCTAGGAGGCCTGGTGTCTGGCGACGGGAGGGCGGCAGCCGAACTGTCCAGAAGGCTGGGAGCGGCGACCTGGACATTCAAGCAAGTGGGCACAGTATGGGCAACATCGCTTCTCGGGTGGAAGCGGACATGCAACATCTTCGACAGTGTCGTCTTGAGCAAACCCTTTTATTCATTGGACTCTCTTTGGCTGCTTAAGGCTGATCGTGATGTTCCGGGCGCATGTGTTTGTAGGTGTTTGCGCCGAGCGGTGGGCATCCCATCATCATTGTTATCTTGCGTGCACAACGATATTGTTTTTTGAGAAAGTTTCAACGACACCGTTGTCGCCAACATTGCTCAGCAGACGAAACATCTGTACAATAAATTCGCCAATAGCGATTCTGATTAGTGTGTGAAGGTTGCGCTCTTCAGCGCAGACGGATCTCGTAGAACGTGGGCCGCCCGCCGCAAAAGAGGACATGCACGCCACCAGTGGGCATCATAAATGCGTCAGTTTTAGTCCTTCGCGCCCCTCGCCTCCCCTGTCCTCCCCTCCCCTCTCCTCCTCTCCCCTCCTCGCGCTGGTCAGTGCAAGCGAACGTGGATCGATATCATTATTCACGTGTCTGTCGAGCGCGCCGACGTGCACAAATCGTATTGCCTATGCGCCCAACGGGGCGCGTGGCCTGTGATTGACTGAGTGATCGTTAGCCTCCACCCGAGAGGAGGGAAGACCGGAGGATGGGGAGCGGAGGCCGAGTAGGAGCGAAGGGCGGGTTTTGTTGTTGTTCGTGTTTCGGTCTTTTGAGCCTCTGGCATGGGCAGGGGTGTCCTGAGGGATTTAGGAAGTCTTGCGAGATGAAGTCTTAGTGGTCTCTGTGGACTTCTGGGGAGTTTTTGGAGGGGGGTGTGGTTTCCACGGCCTTCTAATAGTATTCTCTTGGGGCCACTTCGAGGTGGGGGGCTCGAGCAGCCGCTCCGGTTTCCCTCCATTGGGCCTCTCGTGAGGCCGTATTGGTGGCGTGTTGGCCCCTTCGGGGCTCTCGGGCCGCTTTGGGGCGCCATTGGAAGCTGATCCTTGTGCCGATGTGGACGCTGTGAATACCGACAAGCATGGTGGAAATCGTGCCCAAAGCAATGGGTCAGACCCGAGGGTTCACCAGAAGGCTGCAGAGGCGCCCCAGAGGCCACTGGACGCGCGCTTACGCTGAGGTTTCTGCAGGCTGAGGAGAGACCCCAGGGTCGGCCAAAACCCAAGGCCCCAGATAGCTGGCGGCCCGATTTCCTCCGAGGCATAACATGCAGTTCCCCTTCAGATCCCGGCAAGTCTACTTGCACGGGGGGGGGGGCAGGGAAGAAGGAGGGGCGGGGGCGCGGCGAGGCCCTAAAGGAACACTGGTCTCCCCGCAAGTCGGGGATTCCCAGCCTGGCCCAGCTGGACCCCCCTTCCAGACTGGCGGGGCCATTTCAGCTTGACCTGGCCGGGGCAGGGCTTCTAGGGATGCAGCGGCTGTCTCGCGCGCTGTGTGGGTCGGCGAATTCCTCCGTGGCGTGCGGGCTTATATGCATGCAGGCGTCGGGCCATGCATGGACAATCTGTTCGAACCCTGCGGCGTATGATGTTGAGATTCATTGTCCTTCGTAAACATGTAGAATTCCCTTGTAACTGTCGTGAACATAGACCTTGCAGAAATATATATATATATATATAGTATATAGACACACTTGTGTGTTCCCCTTGGGACCCCCAAATCAATATTGAGTGTGCGGCAAGTGGGGTTGCCTGGGTGGACAAAGATATTCGGACCGCAGAGTCGTCACCCATACTTAATGTAGTTTTGATGGCGGGGGATGGGGTGGTGATCAACATCCCCCTCAAGTGTGCAAGGGTTCCAACATGTTGTCCATGTGCTGGATATTGCAGAGGGGTTTGGCAGGTTGCGGACAGGGTTTGGCAAGGAGTGGTTGTGTTTGCGAAGCCCTGTCCTATACTTACGATCTCTTCACTGTCAGACGGCCTATGGCAGGGCTCCACGGTCGGAAATTTTAGTTTAGCGTGTCGCGCCGCTGGTTCTGTCCCACCACGCTGCCCAGTTCCGAAGGGCACAGGTCTCCAGTTTTTCAATCTCGCGTTCCGTGGAGCGTGGCGACGCGCTATCCGCTCGCACGATTTAGCGTGTCGCTTTGGCAGCCGCCGCGACACGCTAAGCAGAAGATCCCGACCGTAATGCCATCGTTGCACAATCGCACAGACACACCGTCGCGGCGGAAGGACCGCCAGGGGCCACAGCAAAGATGGAGCACCGTCACCACTCGCCGTCCAACGCTGAGTTGATCGATCCTGGGCTCTGTGCTTATATCAGGGTTTCTGCTTCGATTAGTACCAACGGATAAGCAGGCGGGGGCGGCGGTTATCTCTTAGTCGTTATTTCTGGCTACACTGCCCTTCTGCCCGTTACGCCCACGTATTGTTCGGCAATTTCTGGCGAGAGTTGCAGCAGGTTTTGCTGACGCGCATCGGTCGGTGGAAGGGGTAGTGAGGGCAGCAGGAGGGCAGAGGCACTTCCCGGAAGATGATGAGGGCTTCCCTCAGGAAGTCGGTGGCCATATGAATGGAACAACCCTGCCGGTGATGTTCTGCGGCGTTGGGCGGATCCCTTCGAGCCGTCACCAGAAACCCTGGTCCCCTTGCCACAACATCACTTTTGGTCGGAGCCTTTTGAAGTATCCTAGTCTGCGCCCACTTCTAGCCGGCAGCCCAGGAGAGTAACGAAATGCTTGAGGAGCTCGAGGAGGACAAGCTGGACAAGCTTGAGAAGGCGACCTCGCCAAGCTTCCCCGGATTTCCAGGGTGCAGCGAGGTGTGGCGCGCCTCTGGGCGCAAGATGTACGAGTGTGTAGCAGGCAGGGAAGGCCGAGGAGGGGACAGGCTAGTCCTGCCATGCCCCACAGCATCCTTGCCCTCCCTGGACACGTTTAACCGAACAGCGCTTGCACCTAGCGTTGTTCTTGATTCTACCCGGAGGATTTCAAATCAAAAGTTTTGTTGCGATGCCAGGCCGTGACAAGCCAGTTCCAGTGGCGTTTCTCTTCTGACTCCCGCGCGAAACATGTAGGACTCGTCCTCTCGCCTCGGCGTTCGCCACATTCTCGCTGTGGAACAGTGCTTCACCTTTGCCGCGGAATGAAGTTCTCGCCGTCGCGCTTGCGACGTTCTGGCTTTCAAAGGGGGAACGGGACTTGACGGCCACATTGCTACCTCGGAATGGTGCTCTTGCCGTGGCGCGAATAGTGTTCTTGCTCTGGCGCTGGCCACACTCATGTAGTAGCAGCTGCGATAGCAGCAGCGATTGCAACAGCCGCATTCTCAACATTCGTACAATCTAGCAGCATCAATACCAGGGACGTTAGCATCAGGCTTTTTTTAGGACAAGCAGCATTGGCAATCTCGGCAGTAACAACAGCGGCAGTGGCAGTAGTAGAGGCAGCAGGTCAGTGCAATCAGTATCGGCAGTAGAGTGCCACCAGCAGAAGCTGTTGCAAAGCTAGTCTAGCAGCAACAGGAACAGCAGGAACGACAGCGGCAGCACCAGCAGAAGCAGCAGTGGGGCTAAAGTTGCAGTAAGTTTAGACATGGGGGAGCCGAACTCGATACGGTATTTATTTGGCTTCTCAGCGCTCTTGTGTCGTCGGCGACGAGGACGGCGACGACGGCAATGGTGACAATGACTGCGTAAGCGCTGTCGGCGGCGACAACGGCGACGACGGCGTCGAGGACGACGACGCCGACGACGGCGACGGCGACGACGAATGGGTCAGTTGGTCGGGCTCCCAAGGGATCCTGCACATGCCCACGTCGTGCTTAGGTGCGCGACGCAGCGTCGGCAATGACGACAGCGGCACTGATTTGGGCTGGTGCGTGTTCCCAATTTCAGCGGGTGGCATCGAGCAGCAGTTGGTTGCATGTGTCTTGCATGGTGATGTTGCCCTGGACGCATCTGGCACACATCGAATCACTGTGACGGCACAGCTGGCGCGGGCGTCACCACATCCATCGTCGAGAAACTGTGACAAAGTAGAGAAGGTGCGAACCTCACCAGACATTTCAGACTACGAGAGTAGGATACACATACATATTGAGACATATACATACATCCATGCATGCATACATACGCAGTCATATTCATATACGAGCAGGGAGAGGTATCTCTAATATCAGGACGGTACTGGCACGGAGACAGGAATACACATACATGCATATGTGCGTACATATATATGTATGTATGTATGTATGTATGTATGCATGCATGCATGCATGCATGTATGTATGTACAGGGATGGGCAGAGAGAGAGGGATACATACATCTCAAACATGGGGAGAGACATCACAAACCAAACACATAACACATACTACCGAAGAGGTTGAAAGAGAGAGAGAGAGAGAGAGGAGAAGGACAGAGAGCGAGAGGGACAGCGACGGATAGAGAGGGAGTGGGACAGAGACGGATAGATAGAGAGAGGGCGAGATAGAGGGAAAGAGACGAATCTACAGAGGAAGAGAGGGATAGCGAGGCAGAGCGAGTGAGAGAGTGGGAGGGGAAATAGACATACATATATATAGAGAGAGATACCGCATGCCAGTCAAACAGGCGTTATCTTTTCCCTGCCAGGACATCCAGCCGTGGCGACGGGAGCCTCCGTGTGGTCCAAGAAGAGCCTAGCAGCGGCCACAAAGCGTCGACCCTCGACCCTCGAAGTTCGAGCCCGCCGTGACGTTCTGCTCACGGCCCCGCGGGGTTCTCGTGGGCGGCGAGCGAGGGGGGCAAGTGAGAAGGGGTGGGCCTTCTCAGAAGGCTCGGGACCCCCCCCAGCCTTCTGAAAAGATGTCTAAGCCTTCCCGAGAACAGGAAGAACCTCTCAGAAGGCTGGAGGCCTTCTGAGAAGTCCCGCCGCCTTCTGAGAAGGCCTTCTCATTCTCACGTTCTCCCCTCTCTCGCCGCTGATCTTGGGGAGTCGGCGCCGGGAGCCGCCCGCCACAGGGGTGGGTCAGGGTCACCGTCTGGAAACGATAGGCTCGGGAGGGGATTTTGTGTTTTACACATGTGCGTATAGGTTGGCCCTCTCCTGGTGCACGAGTCCTTCGTGTTTCACGTGTATGCCTATAGATTGGCCCTTTCCAGGGGCGCGAGTCTTTCGTGTTTTACGTGTTTGCTTATAGAGTTGGCTTCCCCTGGGGCGCGAGCCTTGCGTGTTTTACGTTTGCGCCTATGGATTTGCCCTCTCCTGGGGCACGAACCCTTCGTGCTTGACGTACGTGCCTACAGATTTGCCCTCTCCTGGAGCACGAATCCTTAGTGTTTTACGCGTGTGCATATAGATTGGCCTTCCCTTGGGGCACGAACCCTTTTGTGTTTAACGCATGTGCCAATATATCGGCCTTCTCTTGGAACGCGAATCCTCTTAGTGATTTGCGTATGTGCCTATAGATCGACCCTCTCCTAGGGCGCGAATCTTTCGTGCTTCACGTGCGTGCTGATAGAGTGGCCGTACCATGGGGGACGAATCCTTAGCGTGATTGGCCCTCTCCTGGGGCACGATCCCTTTCGAGGGGCACGAATCTTTCACGTTTTACGTAATTGCTTATATATATTTGCCCTCCTCTGGGGCACGAACCCTGCGAGGCGTCATGAGCTTCACCGGGTGTCAGGGGAATAGAGGCTTCAGGCTGAATAAAGGCTTCACGAGCTTCAACGGGCGTCAGGGGAATAGAGGCTTCAGGCCGAATAGAGGCTTCACGAGCTTCAGCGGGCGCCAGGGGAATAGAGGCTTCGGGCCGAATAGAGGCTTCACGAGCTTCAACGGGCGTCAAGGGAATAGAGGCTTCAGGCCGAATAGAGGCGTCACGAGCTTCACCGGGCGCCAGGGGAATAGAGGCTTCAGGCCGAATAGAGGCTTCAGGCCGAATAGAGGCTTCACGAGCTTCAATGGGCGTCAGGGGAAAAGAGGCTTCAGGCCGAATAGAGGCTTCACGGGCTTCGCTGGGCGTCAGGGGAATAGAGGCTTCAGACCGAATAGAGGATTGAGGGGAATAAAGGGCTCAGGTCGAATAGGCGCCTCTAGGGTCGCCACCCCGCCAGTGCGTCGCAATTCGTAGGCCGAGTAGAGGCGTCACGAGCCGAATAGAGGCTTCAGGCCGAATAGAGGCTTCAGGCCGAATAGAGGCGTCACGAGCTTCAATGGGCGTCAGGGGAATAGAGGCTTCAGGCCGAAGAGAGGCGTCACGAGCTTCACCAGGCGTCAGCGGAATAGAGGCGTCACCGCAACTCCTTGGGGGAATAGCCTCTTCGAGTAGCGACTTCGGCGCCGGCTCGAACTGGGACCCCCCCCGGGCCAGGCCCCTGTGTTTTGATTTTCAGAACCCGTAAGTAAACACAGCTCTCGGAATTGCAAACATTGACTTTTGAACTAATTTAGTCACCGCTCTATACATACACCAGGCTTCTGGTTATTCGGATTCCTTCACACACACACACCGCTATATATCATCCGGACATGAATTCGTTCTTCATGAAACAATTATAACATTTCCCCTCAGTGTCGTCCTATCGCTCTCTGCGCCGTAGCGTCGTCACCTTGCACGCACCCGCCCGCGAAGGCGGCCAGGCGCGGCCATCAGAGGATTGTTTCTCCTTCGGTCCGGATCATGGGCTGCGGCTCGCAGGCCAGAAAGGCTTCTGCGAGAGCAGAGCGAGACGATCTCGGGGAGCCTCAGTGCCCCTCCCCGCGCCGAACTCGTTCCACAACAGGTCTATACACACACTTGGTTGATGGTGATTCGCATTCCTTCAGACACAGTTGTATACATATATATATATAGATATAGATATAGATCTATCATCTGGCCATGTACACCATGACGCTCTTGCAACCACACAGAGTTACATTGTTGCCCCTCGGTGCCCCCCCGCGCCGGCAGGTGATCCGCAGGACGTGCAGGAAGCTGGGGACGAGCCGGGCGGCGGTGGGCCGGCGCGCCGCGGCAGAGGGCGCGTAGCTCCCGCCCATGAGCTCCCGCCCTCCCCTCCAACAAAGAAAGGCATGCGCACAAACGGTCGGAGCTCCGCTCAGTATCGTTGAACCGATCCCCAGCCCCATCCGGATCCCCACCCATAGTTCCATCCCGATCCCATCCCCATCCCCATCCTCATCCCGATCCCAACCCATCCCGATCCCATGCCGATCCCCATCCCCATCCCCACCCTTCCTGCTTCTCCATAGCCATCCCGATCCCCAGCCTGCTTTTCCTTTCCCTTCCTCATCCTCCTCAGCTGGGCAGCACCGCCTCCTTCTCTCGATGAATAGGAAGAACACGGCATCGGCATATAGATTTTCGGAGCTCCGCCCCCTGTCGTGTAGCCACAGGTCCGAGCCCAGACCCTCTCGGGTCACGAGAGAATCACAACCTACCAGCTCGAAACAGATCCTTATCCCTACGTTTGGCATCACCTTACCTCGGTGCCGGTCTGAAGGATTTCCTCCGTTTCTGAGGGCACATCCTTGAGATTGTCATCGCCGTGGGCGTGCCGATCTTAGGGATAGGTAGAAGTTCGAGGCTGGTTAACTACGATTTGTGTCTCACCATTTTCGGCCCCTGGGGGCCCTTGCCGACCCTCGGGGCCGTCAAACACCGACTTAGGATGAAAGACCGGTCCCCAGGAATGGGTCCAGACCTCTGGGTGTCGACGTTCTTAACCCTGCGAGAGCCGAAGGTCTGATCCCCATCCCCATCCCCATCCCGATCCCCACCATCCCACCATCAATGTTGGGGATGTGCCCCTCGAAACCCGAAGGGAGCAGCCCATATCCCCACTTAGGGGGCTAAATCCGCCAGTGGGGCCTAGGTCACGTCAGTGGTCATAGGGATCGGTTTAACGATGCTCATCCGCGCGGATTTCTGAGATCGGGGCTAGGCCCCCTGGCGCGATTCGCGCGCCAGGGAGGGGGGTCCAGCGCCGATCCACGAAATCCGCGCAGACCTCCCAAAGTTTAGGCTTGTACAGCTTTCTGCTTTCATTATAGGCGCTTCGCGTAACCCCACCAGCCCCTCCAGAAACGATGCCCAGACACCTGCCTTGGTCAGGGATGTGGGGGATCATGCAGTGGAATAGTGGGCTGGATAAGAAGTCATACCCCAAGAGGGGGAGGATGGAGGAGGTATCGGAGGAGGAGGAGGAGGAGGAGGATGCCTATGCACTTATTGTTTTTCTGTTCTCGCCAACGGGCCGCACTTCGCAGCGTAACATCCGACCACCACCGCGGCGATCGCGGCGGCCACAAATCGGGGCAAGGTTTTTGTTCAGGAGTAGTGTGCCCCTTCCCAGCCCCCCCCTTCGCCTTGCAATGCAGATGTAGCTCCGAATTCCGAATTGACAATATAGCGACAGAGAGTTGTCAAGTTACGTCCAACATGGTCAGTCATGTTTTTGTTGGTTCGGGGTCGGCTTGCACGCAACCAGCACTCCCAGACCTCGGCCGACGTGATTCTTTTTCAGCCTGGGCGCTTTTCCCGCCGAACTCGGCCTCCTGGGCTCGCCGTCGGGCCTCGGGGCTAGCAGATGTGGGCCCGGGACGAGGAACTGCCCCTGGGGAGAGGGTCAGGAGCCCTGGGGCCGCGAACAGGGCGGCGATCCAAAACGGGTCTTACGCGAGACGACGTAGCGACCTTGCGCGGTGGCTTACGCGGGCCGCCGGCGCGGCACGCCACATTGGAGACGAGGGCGCTTGCGCGCGACCTCACGCGGGCAGCTCACGCGCCAATGTCGGCACAGACGATCCCGTTTTTTGGCGTCGCCCAGCTGATAAAGTCATGTCGGGGGATGTCTGGACCAGACGGCTTGGCCTTTTCTCGGGACGATCGACATGGGTACGGAAAGCATGGGTAGCAACAGCAGTTGTTGTTCATTTTGAACAGGACTCGCTGTCGGTGTCGCCGCGGCCTGTGCCCATTTGGGACAGAAGGCTGCCTGGCCAACAGCGACTGCTAGCGGCTTTGGACATCAAATGTTGTTGGGCATTGTACCCATGCTTTCCGTACCCATTTCGGGCATCAGAATTTTCAAGCTTCGCTCCCCGCCCCCCCTGGGCTCCCGCGCGTAACTTGTATCACCCTTCGGTCTCCGTGCTTGGCGGCTGGCTTGGCGTTTGGCCGAGGGCCTCCCCGAGAGCTAGCGCACTCCTCGCAGCCTGCTGCCCTCTTCGTCTGGACTCCCGCTGCTCGCACTGCCTCCTCCAGCAACCGCTCTGGGTTCTGCTTCTCCCACTACTCCTGCTGCTCCTGCTGCTCCTGAGGCGCCTCCTGCTGCTGCTGCTGCTCATCTCCCCGATGCCCCTCCGTTTCCTTCTCCGCCTGGTCCGTCATCCTGCTGCTGCCCGGCCTGGTGTCCCCCCCTCCTCTTCCTCCTCCTCCTCCTCCTGCTCCTCCTCCTCCTCCTCCTCCTTTCCATCCACCTCCTCCTCCCCATCCACCTCTGTTTCCTATCCTACCCCCCCCCCTCCCTTCACCTTCCTCTGTGCGCTGTCTTCCGTTGTTCAGCCCCCTCCGCTTCCTTCACATTCTCTTTCCCCCTCCTCCACCTCCGCCCTCTCGCCCACTCACCCGCCCTTCGCCGCCTCCCTGCTTTCTTCTCTCCCCCGTAAGAGCCTTCGTCCTGCTGCTGGTTCTCCCGTTTCTGCTCCTCCGCGTTCCTCGCTTCCCTGCTCTCCCGCCTCATCCTCTTCCCGAGGAGAGCGCACTGCCCAGTCCCACGTTACACGACGACTCATCCTCCTCATGCTGCTCCTCCTCCCCCATCATCCTCATCCTCATTCCCCCGCTCTGCCTCCTCCGCTCTCCGTTCCACGCCCGCCGCTGTTCCCCTACGGCCCACCTCTCCAGTTTTCGCCGCTGCCTTCGTCACTGGCGCAGCGCGTGGATGCCGCATGCCAAACGTTTGACCTTCCTGGCCGCCTTCCGAGCGCTCCAACGGCTGCCTTAATCCGAGGGTTCCAAACGGCCGCATCGACCTGGTCCATGGAGGGCGTTTCACCTTGTTTCGCCAACTGTAACTATCGCCAGCTGTGCCTGCTGACTTGGTTCACCCTGGCTGTGCAGTACTGCAAGCAGAGGGGGGCCCGCGGCCATGTCGGCCGATGCCACGAGTGTAATGTTTTCAAAGGCCGGGCGTCGGTTGTTCTGCTCGCCCGTAGCTCAACCGTTCTCTGGTCATGTTGAATTGGGGCAGCAGCCATCCATCGATACCGTTGAAGTTGTGCGGCGTGGATCAATCACACTGTCATTCCTTACTTGGTTTACCACGGTCTGCAATCATTATTTCGTGCGCTTTCACTCGCGACTGTCTGCCATCTCGCTCCGTATTGCCAATACTGGAAACTCTGTAGCGAGCATCGGCATCGCTCGCAGTTCTCATGCCGATACAGACAACCCGCATAGTAAGGATGAGCGACTGTACAAGATTACCCTTATATCCGTTCCCTTCGGCCCATCCTTGGCCGCTTTCACTAGCCGCGCCCCGCTGGCAAAGTGTCGACACTGCCTTCGAAGGCCCTTGCATTCTTTTCTTGTGATCTGATTATACGGGTTGACTGTAGTTCGTGTTGTGCAACGTCCAGAGAATCAGCTAAGTGGAGGGGAGGGCGAGGAGTTGAGGGGATACCTCGACACTCAATCGGAGACAAGGTTACCGTCGGGAACTTGTGGATAGCGTGTTGCTCTGCCAGTTCTGGCCCACCGCGCCTCGGTGCGACGCGCTATCAACGTCGCGGTCCCCAGGCGTCAAAGTCCCGAGCTTTTCCGAGCCTCCCGCCCTGCGGAGCGGAGCGACATGCTATCCGCTCGCATGGCACAGCGTGTCGCCGAGGTCACCGTGGCGACACGCTCAGCAACAGTTCCCGACCGTAAGGCACCAGAAACCGCTGACGTCCACACAGATGCTCGCTGCTGCCCAGACCTGTAGGAGCGAGGACCCGCATGGCTGCACACGCCGGCCGGGCGCGCGCGCGCGGCGCCAGCCTCGGGCGGCGACGGACGGGAGGGTCTGCTGGACAGCGCTGGAAACATTCGCGAGGCCCTCGAAGGTCCATTTCGATCCAATTCGATGCGGGTTTTGGCTGGCCCTCATCCGATACGATTCCAGTGCGTCGACGGTCCTATGTGGCTCGATGCTCGCATGGCGTTCTTGTGCATCCTGGTGCAGCCGGTGCGATTCGATTCCGACTCCGTGCCTGTGCAGCCCGATCCGTTGTACAGTTCGGTTCGATCAGACTTGCCGATCAAATGTTGATTGATCTTGCCCTCTTCCTCATTCGGGGGCAACGTTGGGGGCTGGAGCGCATCCTGAGCCAACCGCATCAAAAAAAGCGCGCCAGTGGATGGCCCTGAATACCCCCCCCCCCCTTTTCCCCCTTCAAGGGGGGGGTGAGATTTTCGGACCCCCCCTCCCTCATATCAAGCAGTGGCGAAGCGTCCTGGCTTGCCTTTAGCCCTACCAAACAATGTTCTAAGAACCTTTTGTGGTTTTCACGAAATGTTAGAACATTTCCGGCGGAGTCTGTTTTGTTCTACCACATCGGGCTTATGTTCTAAAAACATTGATTTTGTTCTTAGAACATTTTTGGGTTCTAAGAACATTTCGTGGTAAGACTATAGAAATGCCGGGACGGTCGGTCCCTGCTCAACCTTCTTCAGGGGGGGTGGTCCGAACCCCCCCCACTCCCCCCGTTGAAGGCGGGGGAAGGGTTCTGGACCCCCCCCCCTCCCCCCCTTGGCGCTGGAAAGGGGTGGGGGGTTCGAACCCCCCCCCCCCTCCCCCCTTTTGCGCCGAACAGGGGGCTGGGGAGGGGGCCTCTCGGGTAGTGAGTAGAAAGTAGAGTGTTTTGAGTAGCGATTGGTGAGTAGTTGGTATTTGATAGTGAGTAGTGCGCAGTAAGTAGTGAGTAGTGCGTCGTGGGTAATGGGTAATGGGTAGTGGTAGTAGTGAGTAGTGCGTAGAGATTAGTGAGTAGTGAGTGGTGGGTAGTGGGTAGTGAATGGTGGGAAAGAAGCAGAGAGTAAAGAATTATGAATAGTGAGTAGTGAGGAGTGAATAGTGTGTATAGAGTAGTGCATAGTGAGTAATTCGCAGGGCGTAGGGGTGAGAGAGTAGACAGTAGCGACTGGCGAGGAGTGAGTCGTGAGTAGTGCGCAGTGAGTAGTGGGTGAAGCGAGTAACGAGTAACGAGAAAGGAGAAACGAGTAGGGAGCAGCAATTGGTAATTATTGAGCAGCGAGTAGGGCCTTGTGAGTAGTGAATAGTGAGGAGGGAGTAGTCAGGAATCAGTAGTGAGTAGTGGGTAGGGAGTAGTGCGTAGCGAGTAGGGAGTGGCGAGTAGTGGGTAGTGAGTGGAGAGTTGTGAGTAGGGAGTCGTGGGTAGTGAGAAGTGAATAGTGAGAAGCGAGAAGTGGGTATTGAGTAGTGGGTAGTGAGTAGGGAGTTGCGAGTAGAAATTAGTGAGTAGTGAGTCGTGAATCGTGAGTAGTGAGTAATAAGTAGTGAGTAGTGAGTATTGGGTAGCGTCTTGCGACTAGTGACTAGCGAGTAGGGAGTAGGGAGTAGTGAGTAGCGACTAGTGCATAGTGGGTAATGAATATTTCTTAGTGGTAGCGAGTACCGGATAGTGAGTAGTGCGTTGTGGGCAGTGCGGAGTGAGAAGTGAACGTGAGTACTCAGTTGTAAGTAGTGGGTAGTGGTTAGTGCGTAATGAGTAGTGCTTGGTGAGTAGTGAGTAGTGGGCACTCAGTAGTGTTTAGTGACTAGTGAGTATTGAATACTGGATAGGGCGTAGTGAGTAGTGCGTTGGGAGTAGTGAGTAGGGAATGGACAGTAGTGAGTAGTGACTAGTGGGAGCGTGGTGAGCGAGTATTTGCGAGTAATGAGTAGTGAGTGCTGTGTGGGGAGAAGGGAGTAGCGAGTAGTGGATAGTGAGTAGTGAGTTATGGGCACTGAGTAGTGAGTAGGGCAGTGTGAGTATTGAGTAGTGGTTAGTGGTTAGTGGGTAGTGTGTAGTGACTTGTGATTAGTGAGTAGTGGGTTGTGAGTTGAATCGTGAGTATTGAGTAGTGGGTAGTGAGTAGTTTGTAGTGAGTAGTGAGTAGTGAGTAGGGAATAGTGAGTTGTGGGTAGTGGGTAGTGAGTCGTGGGTAGTGAGTAGTGAGTCGTGAGTAGTGAGTAGAAAGTAGTGAGAAGTGAGTAGTGCGTAGCGAGTAGTGAACTGTGGGTAGTGAGTAGTGCGTAATGAGTCGTGATTGGTGTTTGGGGCTCGGGTTTGGGTTTGGGGTTAGGGTTGGGGGGTAGGGTAAGGGTGAGGATTGGTGTGGGGGGTGGTCGGGGTCGGGTTCCGGAGACCGGGGGCGCAGTGGCGAAGGGGGGGAGGGCTCGAATTTGGCGGCCAAAGGAGGGAAGGGGGGGGGGTCGGAACCCCCTCCACCAATTTTGAAAGGGGGGAAGGAGGGGGGGGGGTCCCCGACGACGGACCGGAAAAGGGGGGGAGGAGGGGGGGGGGGGTCCCCGACGACGGGTCGGGAAAGGGGGGGAGGGGTGGGGGGTCCCCGACGACGGATCGGAGAAAGGGGTGGAGGGGGGGGGGTCCCAACCTTCCCCCCCTTGGGGTCATCCAGCGGCGCGCCCTCCGCATCAAGGGCACTATCTTCGCCCTTCTCTCCTCGGGTCTTTTCTGGAGTTCCAGATCCGCTCTGACACGCGGCCGCGGACAGAGAAGCTCAGCGCAATTTGAAGGGATGGGGGGGTAGAGGGATGTCAGACGTGGCGCGAGCGCGCCTAGCTTGTCTCCTCCCCCTCGCCCTCCTCCTCGGGTTACCCAGACTCCTGCTGGCTACCAGGTTCGCGGCTCTCTTTCATAACTTCGTGGTTGGATATATCGGCGCCCCCAGTGTGCGGGACCCGCGGGGCAAGAACCACCGATCCTCCTAAGCAGCGCCAGGGCCATACCGAGGGCGTGCCCGCAGCCGCACGATGCCACCTGTCCGTCCGTCGTGGTTGCCGCGGTCGTCGTGGCCGTCGCCGTGGCCGTCTGCGTCGTCGTAGCCGCCGTCGCCGCTGCCGTCGTCGGCGTCGCCGTCTCCGTCGATCGCTGTGCGTCGCCGTCGCCGTCGCTGTCGCCGTCGGTCGCCGTCGCCGTATCCTTAGATCCGACGCTGCGAAGCATACATGTCACGTCGCGAAAAATCATGACCAGAGCCTGAGACTCCACCTTTCTGCTGCATTTTCCGAGCCGGATCGATCTGCGATGGTCTTGGGGCCCCGAAACTTGGCGAAGCTGCCTGGTGTGAGAGAAAGTCAGCGCCCAGACCTCAGGGACCATGGCCGTCGTCATTGATATCGTCGTCGTCATGCATCGGTCGTTGCAGTCGCCCTTGGCGCGGTCGCCGACGCAGGTCGGCGGCGAGCGAGGGAAGTGAGAAGGAGGAGGCCCTCTCAGATTTCGGCGGGGCTCCTCAGATGCCCTCCGGCCTTCCGAGGAATTGTTTGTTTTGTGTCTTCGGGGAACGTTGGAAAACTCCTCCGAAGGCCGGGGAGCTTCCGAGCCTTCTGAGAAGGCCCTCCCCCTCTCCCGCTTCCTCCCCCCCCCCGGCTGGCCGCCGAGTCGTCGTGCATCGGTCGCTGCAGTCGCCGTCGGCGCCGTCGCCGGTCGCCGCCGCAGGTCAGCCCCGAGCTGCGTGAGCTGCTGGCGCTCGGCGCCGCGCTGCGGCTGCGGAGGCTTGAGCTGAGCTGGCTGGAGCCGCCGCCGGGGCTCGGGCCGCTGGCGCCAGGCGGCGCGGGAGGGGCCGAGATGCCTCGAGTCCCTCGCTCGGCGGCAAGCGGGGGGGGGGAAGGGAGAAGGAGAAGGCCTTCTCAGGAGGCGGCGGGGCTTCTCAGCAGCCTCCGCGCCTTCTGAGAGAAACTTGCAGTGTCTTCGCGGAAGGCGTAAGTAGAGAGCTTCTCAGACGGGCGGGGGACTTCCGAGCATTCTGAGAAGGCCCGCAGCCTATTTCTCACTTCCCGCTGGGCTGGTGGTCGATTTACGGCACCCCGGGCTCCGCCTCCCTGGTGGATCAAGGCGTTGCCCACCCCCTTCACTCCCCAGACCCCCTAGGTAATGGCAAATCATGACTGACTTTTTTCTGTTTTACTATTTCCAGCCTCTGGGGGCATTTACCAGGCTTTGGGACCGTCGAAAAGGTCTCAGGCTGAAAAGCCGGTCCCAGGGAACGGGTCGAGACCTTCGGCGGTCGACGCTATGAAAACAAGAAACGCGACGTCGGAGGTCTGGGTCGGCAGCTTGGGCTAGCACGCATTCTTTTAGCACACAGGTCTTCAGTGCCCGAGGCCGTCTGCGCACTCCTCGTGGCGATAATTCTCTCTGCCTGAGGCCTCCTCCCGCGTTCCCTATCTAGGCGGTAGCGGGCAAGCTTCGTACGCCTTCTTCGAGTTCGAAGGTCCGCTCCAAGGGGGGGCGTTGCATAGCTTGCTTTGCCCGCTGCCGTGTGGACCCAAGGGGGTTCAGCCCACTCTGGCTGCGTCGCCTGCGACGTACAATCTGCGGCGTCGGTTGGAGAGAAGGCTTGTCTCCCGTCCTACCGCCACCATGGCCACTGTACCCTCATGCCGCTTACATTTGTATCCCACCATGCGATGGTGACACCGTTCTCTACTTGAGGAGGGGGCGGACGACAACTCTAAACACAAGACCCAACAACACTGTTGCAACATACCCTCCCTCCGAGCTCCAAGTGCCCCGTTCAGAAAAAAAAACGTATGAACATCCCGAACCGTGCCACAACACCACCATTGCGACGTCAACGCCACGAATCTTCGTTACTGTTGCGTCCTGACGATCCTGAGTCGGTCCATATAACCAGTGCTGCGACTTCAACGCTGCGAAAATAAATATATGTTGCGTCCCAGCCGTCCTGCATCGTGCCATAATTCCGTTCCTGGTACGCCAGCCATGCGAATATTTGGAATGGGTGTGAACTTGTAATACGAATATGCGCAGCGCTGGGGAGAGAAACGCAATT